GTGAAACTTTAAGGATGTGTAACTGTATCAAAGTATGGTAGACAACTCCAGGTAACATGTCTTCTGCTACCACATGCATAAGAACGTTCATTGGCCTCCCCCCCTTTTTCTGCAACAAAAGATCCTGTGTTCTAAACTTGAGAGCTACACAAGAATCCGGACAGTGTAGAGTGATGAATGCTTCCCTTGTTTAGTGCAACCAAAAATTAGGACAAAGGCCAAAAGTAGAAATTTTGGAGCAAGTTCTAAGTAAATTAAAGGCATATGGAATAGTCAATCAGCAAGGCAAAGACAACGCTCCACAATTTGGCAGTAAAAGGATAAAGATGAGCTGTGAGTGAGATGGCGGTTCAATTTGATGATGTCACTGGTTTTTTGCAGGTTGAATGTGTTGCCAAACTCATGAATTAGCCTTCCCTGGGTAGAGGACAGAGATGCTGTGATGGTGTTCTCATCACGTCTTTATTTTCACTGTGATAGAGACACCATAGGCTCTAAATACTAAGTCCCTACACACGACAGACGAGGTGAGACCATCAGCAAAAAGAAACTCTTACAACATGTCAGGCAGGAGGCATGTGGTGCGCAGAGAGCATCTTCAAGTCCAAGAAGTTTCATGATTTTCCTTATATTAACAGAACCCATTGCAATCAAGCTGTAAAGGTGCCCTAGGATTCCATTGCAGTAAAAAACACCACTAACAACAACAACAACTCGGGGAAGGAAGGGTTTATTTCACCTTATAGATTATGATCATGAAGGGCATCCAGGGCAGGGACTCAAGACAGGAACTGGAGTACAGGCCATGGAGGAGCACTGCGGACTGGCTTGCTCTCAGGCTCAGGGTCAGCATCCGTTCTAACACCTCCTTCCCAGGGATGGCAGCACTGTCCACGATGGCTCGGGGATAGGCTCTCCCTTCCATATTAATCAATCATCAAAAAAAGAAAAGCTCATAGACTTGCTTGTAGGCAAATCAGATGGAGGCTTTTTCTCAATGAGGTTCCCTCTTCCCAATGACTTTAAGCTTGTGCCAAGATGACAAAAGCTAACCAGGGTTTGGCAGTTGGCCTTATCTTTGAAGCTGTGACTGCGCTGTACCGCAAGATCAGAATGTCACATGCAGACCTTATCACCTGATGCCGAGAGAAACATGGTGGCCAGTTTCTAGTAGAATAGAACGTGGTGCCCATAGCTTATGAGCACATCCCACCATCCTTCAATTTTCATATTAAAAATTCCAGTCAGAACTGGACTATGCTGGCATAAGTGCTTTAAGAATTTTTTGCCATCCAAGCTGATCACTGCAGAGATAAGGCAGGAATCAAAGATGCTTCAACAAAAATTGAAGAATCTGAGAAAAATTCACATGCCACGTCTAATGACAATGAGGAAAGAGAAAGGACTCAGACCCTCACCCAGGGTGGGTTTACTGTTGACAGGCTGAGTACCGGAAGAACATGGTTAGACTTTTCTGGCATGAAAATTTGTGAGATCAGTTAATATTTTTTAGAGGTCAAGATGATAGGAAAGGGTGTGGTCATCTTCAAGGGAAGGCTGAGTGATACTTCTTGATATTCCATGTCTTCCAGGAAACAGCACGGAAGGTGATGTACCAATGCTTGGTCAGCTACAGTACCGTGGATTCAAGCAATGGAGGATGGAAGCTGGAAAAACAGTCAGTTCTAAACATCAACAGCCGTTTCCTAATACAGCTGTTTGCAAAGCATGTACCTTATAACACATATTCCAAGTAACTTCAAGGTGGCTTAAAGGGCACAGGAGTGTGCAGGCTCAGTGCAAACTCTACGTCATGTGTGTACGGCACCCAAGAATCTGCAGCCGCTGGGACTGCAGCAGGGCCCTGGAGCCAAGTCCGCCCTGGGCTGCGGGTGACACTTTTTTTAGTTTTACTCCAACAGAATTCTGGTCAGGCATAATCTTCCTAAGGGATATTTCCCCACATATCCTGAGAACTTCAGGGTGGGGAGGAAGTAAGTTACACTCTATTACATATGAATGAAAAACCACAAGGTAAGAGACAATGCCAAGCATGGACCCACCCTTGTTCAAACAAAGGCAGAGGAAGAATTCATGCTAACAATCTACTGAGATACTATTTTGGGGAATACACGCACCATCAGCAAAAATGCTTCTCCTGGTCTTCAAAAAATACAGTCCTTAAGTTGCAGGAATTAACTTACTTTGGAAGTTTTAGCTGCTGTCCAATGTGGTGGTAAACACCAGTCATGTTGTGTTCGTTTCCTTCCTCACCATACTTGCATTTGTCATCAGAAAGGAAAACTAATGAACGTTCTCCTGGGCTTTTGTGTCCTCTGCCCCTGGGTGTTGAAGGCTCAGATGTACAAGAAGTCTATTCAGATCTGCTCAGACTCTTTCAGGAGGCCTGAAGTGAGGGAGACAACTCCAGATACAAGTTATGGACAGTTTGGCTTCTCCCTTGTAAGCCTAAGAGGGGTGTGTGCATCTGTGTCCCAAATATGCAGCCACTCTCTAGACTTAGGCAGTCTGCTACAAAACAGGACAGGAAGTTCTGTTCCTGGCTGAGCATGTGACTTGAGCAGGGTGGAAACATTGCCTTGTAAGATGAAGGTTCCGGATGAGGGGGAGAAACTGCAGAATAAAGGGATTAACTGTGATCAGTATTTCACTATAGAAGCTTGTCTTTTTTAAGCTAAATTTTCCTACCCCTTCCAGCAGCACTTTGGGGATGCAACATACACTTGGTACAGCAGACTTCCTGCATCCTCCTGCAAATTAATTTTTTTAAATCTTATTTTCTAGTATGTATTTGAGACAGGGTCTCAGTGTGTAGCCCTGCCTGGAACTCTCTTTGGAGACTAGGCTTTTTTTTTTTTTTTTTTTTAACTAATTTATTTAATCTCATTTTATGTGCATTAGTGTGAAGGTGTCAGATTCCTTGGAATCAGCATTACAGACAGCTGTGAACTGGTGTGTGGGTGCTGGGAACTGGACCCGGGTCTTTTGGGAGAGCAGACAGTGCTCTTAACCACTGGGCCATCTCTGCAGCCCGAGACTGGGTTCCTTTAACTTGCAGAAGCCCACCTGTCTCTGAGCCGCTAGTGCTGGAGTTAAAGGCATGCACCACTAAGCCTGGCTTGAAGGGACTTTACAATCTGCAACTTCTCACTCACTTTCTGGCATGCCATGCTAATCTTCGCAGACCATGTTTTGGAGAACTAAGTGCTCCTGCTTTGAAACTTGAGTGATCTTGGTGAGCCCACTGCCTCCCGCAGCCACTGTGCGCTCAGTCTCCACTCAGCCTGGAGCCTTTACTTCTCTTGACCTTTGCTGCTGGGTGAAACTAAAACCAACCAGAGGACTTTAAAATTTAAACAGCCTGAGGGGCCTGGAGAGATGGCAAAGCGGTTATGAGCACTGGTGGCCCTTGCGAAGGACCCGGGTTCAGGCCTTACTCAGTGGCACACAATTATCTGTGACTCATGTTCCAGGGGATGCAGCACCCTCTTCTGATCCCTGCTGGCGCCAGGCACGTGTGGGGTTGATTTTGCACACACAAGCGAGACACCTGTAAACATCGAATAAATCTAAACCACACAAAAGATACACAAACTGTAAGACCTGAGTCTTTGAAGATACTCACTGAAGACCAACAGAGAATACACACGCTCGGGTCGCTATCCTCAGAGGACTGAGGTCCGCTCAGCGGCCCTGTTCATCCGGCAGTCCAGCACTGTAGGGCTGTAAGGAACCACCAGTTCCCAGCCAAAGCCTGGGGTCTGGATGCAGGGCCTGGATGCGATATGAAATGAGAGTAGACAGACCACAGCTACTCCACACTCACTTTGGTAGTTGTTTTTTTTTTTTAACAGACACTATCGGTACATTGTCTTTTAGCTCTGCCTTGACCATTAACACGTCATAGATCTTTGGCCTGTTTCCATAAGTAGTGTTAGATTCAAAAGCCTCTTAAAGATCCTTTGGTCAGTTTCTCAAAAACTGAAATGCCTTACTCAATAGATCCAAAGACACAGTAACTTAACTAATGAGGCCAACTGTTTATCTCTGAAAGGTCTGCCAACAAAACCTGTTTGGTCGGGCTCCACTTCAAGGGGTTCAGGTGTCCCAGCTGCTGACACTGCATTCACTTGAAATGTTTAAAGTGTGCTTTGTATGTGGGAGGGCCGGTGCAGCCTGCAAAGGGTTCAGAGGACAGAGGCAGTCTACGGAGTCAGATCTCTCCTTCTGCCGTGTGGTTTCCGGGGACCGGACCTGGCAGCATGGGTTCTTGACCACCGAGCCGAGAAGTGGCCTGTGACTTCTTTCCAGTGTGTCCACTGCTGTGCAGCAGCCCAGCGTGCGCCGAACTCCCTGTGTAGCAGAGGACAACTGCATCTCTGCTCCTCCTCTCCTCTTCCCTCCCAAGTGCCGGGATTACAGGTGTGCTCCACGTCATGTGCTGCTGGGGGTTAAACTCAACAGTTGATGCTCTATGAACACTACCAGTTCAGTCCCAACCCTGCCCCCTTAACCAGCCCTTCGTCGAAGGGCTAACCTCAAGCTCACAGCAACCCTTCTGCCTCGGCTCGTGTGCTGGATAGCTGCAGAGCACCATGCCTCGTTTGGCTCTGGTATTAAATGCTTTACAGGTAAGGGTGGTTTAGCATAGAGAAAGAGACTGATGAGAGTTTCTGGGTCTGAGGTCTCTGAAACAAACACAAAAGCCAACTTTCCGAAAGAGTAAAGCTGAAGATGCTCAAGGCTTGGAAAGCCAGCATTATTTTGTAATTAGGTCCTAAAATACAGTTAATGGTGATTATGAGACAAGTGCACCAAAAAGTGCAATTACTGCTGAAAATAAAGTCAGGAATAAGAAGCCTCAGAAAGGCCAATTTTAAAGGAAAAGTAACATTTACTAACAAATATTCTCTTTCTCCAACCTAACTGAGTTAAATTTTGTGTGATCAGTACTCAAGAAATTCAGGATAAACACAAGGTAGAGAATAGACTTTTAATAGTATCAAAATCAGGACTTTTGGGGGCCAATTTAGTACTTGGAGTAAAATTGTGAACTGTCAACGTGGTAACTGACTTCGCTTCTAAAGTGTCAGAATTATACACTTTGTATATTTAGTGTGTACAAGTACATCCCATGATTACATGCAGAAACGGGGAGACGAGAGCGATAAAACCAAAACTGCCATCGGTACTGATGAGATCGTGGACTGGAAGCAGCTGTCCAGACGTGCGGGACATCAACTGTTCACTGAAAGGGTGGTTTGAGTGCTGCTCTTCCCCAGACCTGACACAGGCTCAGGGAGGGGAACTCGACTGCTTTGCAGTGAGGAAAAGCAAGTGGACATTCTTTGCTCACGGAAGCAGACTTTGCCTTCCAGTTCATGTCCAGCATATGCTCTGCTACCTTTAATGACAGCCATACGACAGACATGGGTTTAGTTTTCCTGAGAATTACAGAGACCTGCTAAATAAATAGGCTATGAAGATGACCTGAGCTCACAGGAACTGCCAACTTAATGATGATGCTTAGCTCTGCTGAGATTCATTAAAAGCCTGTCGAGCTAGGGTTTTTGTGAGCCACACATCTGATCACACGCCTTGGAACTCTTAAAACACTATAAAGAAGTGCTGCTGTATGTTGAGCAAATTCGAACGGCAGCTGAGGAGGACAGTGGTGAGGGCAAGGAGCAACACCCACAAAAAGCCACGGGCTCTGCCACCGTACAGAGAAGAGAGCAAGAGAGATGTGGGCTGAGCAGCTCTGCTCCTAGCTGACAGACTGACTTCCTCACACACAGGAAAGACAGCACCTTGAGTGGAGCCTAGGGAGAGCCATCAAAAGCGAGGGTTGGCTGTGGCAGGGACACTTCTGCTCCCTTGACGTAATCCTCCTCTGCGTAAGAACCTAGAATGTATCTGTAACACTGGGCTTCACAGTCATGCTCCGACCTACTATTTGCAGGCTTCTTAAGGTCACTCGTGAGTGACATGATTAAGTAGCGCAGAAAAGAGTATGGTCTGGCTACAAGCCGAACTCTCCACTTGCTGTGTATCTGATGGAAGGCACTTTAAAAACTGGTGCCTCGGTATGGTAACACGTGAGACAGCGACAGGCATTCACGTGCGCAAAGCTTATACAGCTCGCTGAATGCACACCTCAGGTGAAAGCACTGTGGGACAAGCACGACCCTGAACCCTCCCCAGCGCCGCAGCGTCTGTCTATGTGCCCAAGCCACCATGTTTTCTTTAGCGCTTTAAATATGAACTGTTAGTGGCATTCTATCCCTTCATGTATTAGCTGATTAGCTGTTTGGCACAGAGATGTTCATACCTGTCAAGCTGTCACTCTCTAGCCCAAAGCTGTTTCCTAATTTTCTAATACAGCTAATGCATACACGCAGTGTGGAGGCCTGTGCTGAAAACTTGAAGCTTTCTCTCAAGTACATGTGACATTAAAAAAAATTAAAAAATAATTGAACTAGGGCTGTGTAAAACCACATCTTTAATGGAAAAACAAAAAACCAAAACCAAAACCAAAAAACCCCCAAAACCCTGAAAGTATGCCTCAGGATCACCTATTCATCTGCAAAGATGAAGTTTTAAGAAAAAGGGGCCTCGACATGATACAAAATAAATGTGGCTCAAATGAAACATTAAAAATGTTTCATACACTGAAATAACTAGTTAGAGATAAGTTATAAGTACAGTAGTTCAAATATTGCTTTTTAGCATTAGTTTTTCAAAACGAGTTAAACTGAGAACATTTAAAATTTCTTATGTTCTTCCTTCGAAGGAACTGTGGACATGGAAACCTGCACAGGATCCAAACCCATGATCCCACAGACGCATCATGCAGTCTTTACTGCAGATGGACTGGGCTTCTCTTGATTAGCACACTGCGTTGGACTCATTCTGGAGGACGGGACTGCGGCGGCTGCCCTCAGGCAGGGCAGCTAACCCTGCACGCTTCCACCGTGCTATTCTCTGCAGGCCTCTGCTAGACTCATAATCAAAACGACAGACAGTAAATAACTCCTTTAGAACTGAAAATGTGTTTTTTTTTTTTTTTCTCTTTTAAAAATAAAATAAAGTGCTTTTAAATTAAAATATTTCTTGCCCTAAACAAAACTGGAATCTTGAAATCTCCATATCTTGACACATTTTAACAGCAAAGAAAGTTTTGGGCCATTCATATCCTTCAAGAGTTCAGACTGGATCTAGGCTGGGCTTTGCATCATTATGCTCCTGTTTGTACATGAACGTTAACAGAAACAGAGCGACGTCCAAGGATGACCAGTAGGCGGTGTGCGACGTGACGGCTGACCAGTAGCGGCTCTCCACAAGGCCCTCTCTCAGCTCAAAGTCGATCCTGTGCTCCAGCTCCACTGCAAAGACAAGAGTTAGGTGAAGATCAAGATGGGTGTGCTGTAGGCGGGAGAAGGTTCGGTAAAAAAAATCTACATCCTCTTCACTCTGAATTTATGGAGCAGTAAAGAAGCCAAAGCAGTCAGGGTTCTGCGGTGCAGCCGTCCCTCTGTTCGAGCAAAAATAACCAAAAAGGCTAAACTGACTCACTTGCTATCATGGCATATTTTTGGAGTTTAAAAAAAAAAAGGAGGCTTAAATCTTAGATGACTATTTCATATCTCCCTTCTTTGAAGAATTTCCTCAGTTAGGGAGGCCCAACAGGACACGTGTTTCTGTGGGAATATGTTCCACAGCAACCAGCATTTATTTTTTAAAATTGTTAATATTACTTCATAGTAAAAATATTAATTATTTAGTGTGATTACCAACAGCGTTCTGCCCCATGGGCCCAAGTCTCTTAAAGGCGCCCTCCCCTGCCTCCCCCAGTCTGTACCTATTTAATAGGGGTGCTAGCCTGTGCCTGGGACATTCAAGTACTCAAAAGAATCCACTGTGTTGGGAGGAAAAGTTAAACTGGGGGAATGGCCTGTCGGGGGAAGGGCTTTACCTATAATCTGCTGCCCTCAAACAATTCCATGAATCTAATTAAACCTTTCCAACTCCCACTGAAAGCCCTGGCAACACTGGAGAGCAACGAGCAGCTCAAGGCTCTCTTAAATGTCAATGGGCTAATCCTCAGCGATAGCATACTTGGAAACATGACTTTATGAAGGGCTGGCAGGATGGCAGGAGCCTGGTACCCTAGCTTGATTCCTGGATCCCACATAAAGGTTGAACAGGAGAACCAATTCCACGAAGTTGTCCTGTGGCTCATATATATGAAACTTACTTGTACACACACACATTTGAAAAATGGCATTATGATATTCGGGGTCTCTTAAAACATCCAGTACTCTGAAGGATCTATCTTACAAACAGAAACACTCATGTCACTACCAGACACTTATTACTATGTTTGTTTAGTGTCAATCAAAGATGTCAAAAAGTAAGAAGTGGCAAAAATAAAGATGCTGGAGAAAAAAAAAATCTGGATTTTGCTTTATATTGGGAATGTGTTAGTTATGCATAAGAAGTCATATTGTACTAGAAAATAATTGAAATACTGTTAATGGTAGTTTTAAACAGGGCTTGTTTTGTGGTAACAGCATTTGGCAGTTTGAAATATAAACATACAGTAGGTACCTCTGAGTTATGCTTTTCCAATTTGTGAGTGTATCTGTGTCCACTCAGAGAAGACTTAGACTTCAGAGGTGGATGCAGACCAGGCTATAAAATACTTGTACAGAAAACCAACACAGAACTTTCACGAAGTTCTTTCAACTCCAAATTTTCACTTAATTAAAAGAAAACTAATCCTTGAGTCAGAAATTGCTGAAAACCATGTGGATTTAGGCAAGCATGCCCTAATCCTTCACTGTTGTGCTCAATGGGCCTTCTTCACATGAGATCTGTGGGCACAGTCACCCACAAGAGATCAGAACACAAAGATGAGAAAACTGCATTCTCAAGCATGATGAAGTGAAGTCAGGATAAAGCAGGTTACAGGACAGAGAGAGGTAGGGTGTGCCGCGTGAGGACCCTCAGCTGCTGCTGCGCTGCTCTAGACCGCAACTTTCCAGCTGAACCTGTTTTAAAGTCAAAGGGACACATTTTCTTGTTACAAGAATCATCTGGCTCCCCTCTGATTTAAAGCCCTGAAATTTATCCTTAACATGCCATCACTACCCTAGAACACTGCTTTCATAATGTTGTAACTCTTTTTACCATGTGCCCTTGTTATTGTCACCTCTGGGGACATCAGTGGTTACCTAGACTAGCTCCGTCTGTGCTTTTTATTTATCACTGGGCTTGGGTTAGAGTCAAGAAAATGCAAATCAGGTAGCCAGCTTTCCTCCCCAAACTGCTGAGTCTCCCACCTTCTCCTGGGCCCTCAATACAGCCACCTCACATCTTGCTGGCTTTGTGGGAAGATGAGGGAGGAACCGAAGTGGGCTTGCCTGTCTTCTCTTCACAGAATCTCCAAGGGAGAGGCTTTATATGGCAGCACCACTTTGTACTGCTCTACAGCACGCTGATGGCCAAAACAGGTTCTGATGCACGAGCACCCGTCCCGTGTTGTCCCACCGGGACTGGCTGGGCCTGCGCAGGGGCATGGGTTCTACTAGTTCCTCCAGCCCACGAGGATCATGGGGAAAGGAGCAAGTAAAATCACCTTTCCTTCTTGTTCTATGCTTCAGACACCTACATGTAAAACCTGCTAAAAACAAAACAAAAAGAACCTTGTTCCTAAGCAGGTGGAGATGAAAACTGAGAAGCAGCTGTGGTGCGTCCAGGCCAAATGGCAGCTTTGGAGTCATTCCCTAAGTGCTGTCCATTTTTGTTTGGTTTCTTGGACTGTCTCTCATTGGCTTGGAGTGTGTTACATAGGCCAGGTCAGCTGGGCAGGGGCTCCGGAATGCAACTCCATGGCACTGGCTTAAGAGTGAGCACTGCCCTGGCAGCTTTTAAAAAGCGGATTTTGAGGGCTCTGAGGCTTGAGCTGAGGTTCTCTTGTAAGCATTTCAGTGACTGAGCTATTTCTCCAGACCAACAGTTATTTTTTATGAAAATGTTTGGCTGTATGATAGCAGCTGGAGAGATCCTTATATGTGGTAATTTCTTTAGGGGAATTTGCTGAGTTAGGTCATTATGAATTCTTGCCCTGGAGGCAAAAAGGAGCCAGCTTGTTATATTCAAACTGTTTGGGAATTGGGTCAAGTAGTATGTTTTTTGATAACTAAAAAAGATAAATGAAAAATTAAAGGTGACTAAAACAACCAAAGAAAACCCTGAACACATTTTTTAAATATCAAAGATAAAATTCACTACTAATAAGGAAAACACAAGAGAGAAACTACAGAAGAGGAAATGAGAAGTTAGTGATAAAAGAAACTTGGGATTGTTAAGGTTGGTCCTTAGTGGCACAGGCAGATTCAGCGTGTGCTAGGAAGGGACCCTGAGAAAACCTCTGCACCAGCATCACTACATTCAGAAACAAATTCGCCCTGTGGAGGACGCTCTGTGTTTGTGTTGGAATGAGCTGTCAGCTCTGGCAGACACTCAACCCAAGTGCTGATGTCAGACATAAGGAACAACTAGGAGTGATGCAGTTCCTTGTACCAGGAAAACTTCTTTTGTCTAAGTCTAGACATGAAAAGAACAGTGAACCTCTGAGGGCCTCGAGGACAATAAAGACGACAGACATGGCCTAATGCCTTTCTCCTCCCTCAGAAGGCCCCCTTTCGTAGGAGTGTGGCAGTTAGCGTCTGGAGTGACTGTCAACTCTACTTTGGCGACGAGAAAGTGCACGGATAGTCTGCAGTGGTAACATTGACGCTGCTCTCACAGGAGTGGTCCCCTCTCTCCCTGAGCACACCTCTAAGGAGACTGTTCCCAGTACGCTGAGCGCCACTCCTGACATAGACCATACCGAGGCTATCATCTTTACTCTGCATTACATTTTCCGGAAAAAGAAGTTGTGGGAGATAAAAGAACGATTCTTGAAGTCTGAAATCTGTGAAAAAAAAAAAAAACAAACAAGATGCTGTAAAGGCAAGGCTGACTGTTAAGAGTAGCCTTCAAAGTTGCAATGGTCAACATGCTAAGAGCCACGTCCCAGATAAGCTGGTTAAAGCTAGCATGCACAGAGGGGCTGCCCTAGGCTTCTGTGAAGAGCCCCTTCATGGAAGATATGAGCACAATTCAAGTCTCAAGTGTCATGTTAGGATCTGCTGACAGCCCAGACACTCCTCAAACTTAGTGCTAATTCAGGTTGTAACCTAGAGAGCAAAAAACAAACAAACAAATCCCGCAGGGTTGCAAGAAATGAAATCATAAAATTCTTTAAAATAAGCCTCATCTTTTCAGAAGCAATTATGGATAGCTATGTAAGAAATGTCAACCTGATGAAAGTAAGGAAGGCCAACTGACAACACTTACTCTTCAAGGTGGAAATGCAATTGATCATGAACTCAGTGTGTCGCCCTTACCGATAATGAGACTCAAAGACAGTGGCATCAGAATAAAGAAATCCAGAAGAGCTGAGGCAATCAATGTGAGGAGGTAGAAGGGAGGAAGGAAGCCCAGGTACCTAATCACAACAGTCAAATTCCAGGAAGAGTTAAGGAAGAGAAGTTTCAGGATTGCAAGACAGCAATTACGGCATACAAGTCAGGATTACAGAAGGACACACTCCCGAGGCAAGACAAAGAGTCATTCAGACAGACCCGGAGCAAATTAAGACAGAATCACAGTCAAAGTCTGACCGTAACAGTGCTGGCTACTGAGAGATGCCTACATGAAACTGAGTCTCATGGTTATCGCAGATGCAGTTGAGACCACAGCTGGGATTTACCGTGAAGCCTAGCAGAGCGCTGCATGCAAGCAGGACAGCATGGCTGGCCGTAGCTCAGCAGGACTGGAGGCTGCGCACACAGCACAGAGGAGGGCCTGGGGCTTGCGGGGGCATGTGTGAGGACTTCTCTTCAGCTGAGCACCACTGATCGCTGCTGAGGAAGGCCAGGTCTCTCCACACCATTCACAGCAGTACACAAAATGAGGTGGTTTTCTTTGCTCAGATTCTGTGTGTTTACTCCTCTTTCAGGGGAGGGGGGCTGTCTCAGCTGTTACTGGCTCTGTTCATCAGTATCACTGCCACACGGGGCAAGACCATATAGTACTGTAACTTTTTAGAGCCACCTTACAAAATTCGTCCAAAATAATTTTCTTCAGAAGTTAAAAGTTTTGATTTCTGCATGTCACTAAAGTATATACATTTATAATCATGTTTGTAACTAAAAATGGGTGAACCATCGTGTAAGAACGCAGAAGAAAAATGAGTTTTATACAAGTATCACAGCCTAAGAAGAACTGTCTACACATGGTCCAAGTAACTCGCAGAGAAATTTTTAGCACTGAAACGTGCTGCTGGTCCACTGAGGAGCTCAGCCTCCTGCTACTCCAGCCTGGCGTGGGCTGAGTGTGGAGGAACCGTGCAGCCTCCACGACGCCAACCTGACTGGTTCTGGTTGCTGGTCACTTCAGAATTCACTGTGGCAGACAGCAAGAACACAGTGCCACCAGCAACTGCAATGGAGTCTGCTAAAAGGACTGGAGAAGTCCATTTCGTTTTGCTTGCTTCAGAAAGGGAGCAGCTAGTTTAGAATTCACAAAGTGTCAGTGCTATTACAGGACACTTAAACATTCGCTGGTAGACTAGTGTTTTACAGTTATGCAAGATTTAAAGAATTTAAAGTCCACTGGGGGAAAAAAAGTTTCATCTTAAACCTACATGTACCTATGCAGAAACCCCTGCTATCCACTGGGTCACCAGGCAGGCACAGAGGACACACAGTGGGATCCAATAGAATGCTTCAGCTTTGGAGGGTTCATAAAGCTGTGTGGGAGTGTGGTTAGCGGCAGGACAGAGCAGAGTGTCAGACGCAGGACCCATCTATAGTGAGGCCAAATTTAAACCCTGGTGACTGCATTAACAAAAACGCACTCTGTAAAAGCTAGGGGCACCTACCCCAAGGAGACCCTTCTTGTGCCAGAAAGCCCAGCTTGTAATAATCAAGTAACTTGTCAATGCAGACACTAAACTGAACTTAGCTAGAGAATACTCTTAAAATTCTTAAGTTTCTTTTCTTTAAGATACTTCAGACCTGGACCACAGTGCTCCTGTCCTCCTGCCCCTCCCCACCCCTCCTAGGCTAGAGGTAAGCAAGAACTCAAGGACAGAATGACAGGAACTAACATGCAGAGTCGAGGAAGCCGGAGCTGCTGTGCGGCAGGGTCTGTGTGGCCACGTTGGTAGTAGAGGGCGAAGCAACAGGCTTCTTCTCATCGTCCATTGTGTCTTTAGACGTGTCAGATGGCTGCGATGCTGAAGAACGCCCAAATCTTGAGAACAGTATTCCTCCAAGCCCCTTTCCAATGCTAGCGGCCCCTGTGTGTCACAAAATAGGTTGGTCACTCTGCTGGCTCACCTCCCACACACTGAGGGCGCCACCTGTAATTACAGCCGACTGGCAGAAGGATCAGACTCATTTTTTTTCCAATTTCTATGGAAGTTCTGTAATCTTTAAAAGACGGAAAGTTGTATAAATTCTAGGAATACCGACTCAGGGATATACAAAACCACCGCAACCAAGATGTTATTTTATCCAAATGTTCATTGTTATAGAAGTATTTGGCAAAAGACCTCTGCTGGTGGCACAGGGCATATACCTACAATCAGTAAGTGTATGTCTTCCTGGATTTATGCTATAAAAAAGCCATTATTAACCTCCGAGCATGATGTCAAATAGTAAGCAAGTCTGGTAGGTAAGGACTACTTACAGTGCCATCTTGTGGCATTTACATGAAGGGACACTCGGCCAGAAACAAAGGACAAATTCAAGTGGTAGGCAATCGAAATGCTCAATTTCTGTGCTGGCACAGCAAGTTACTCAAGGAGAGACGAAACATCCCTGTTGTCCTAAATGAGTTGACTTCTAGAGGACATCAGAGTCCTGATGGGGCGATGCTCCCAGAATGCACAAGAGGAAGTAGCGCAATAAAAACAACATTTTTAAAGGATCCCTCAGCAGGTCATAGGACCAAGACTATAATGAGGGGCAGAATGCCTTTTCTTGATCTTCAATATAATCGGAGGATATAAGCACATCTCTTCAGGAAGCAGCGAAGCTACTTTTAGAGATGGACAGTTGCAAGTTTTCTAACAGTGTATTTCCAACCAATTTAATACTTATACATAAAGTGCTTACATTCATAGATAAGAAAAATAAGCGAAATTACCCAATATGCTTGCTTTGCCAATGTTAGTTATGGATTCTCCGTAGTGGCGCCGGGATAAGACGGGGGAGGTCACAGGGCTGGGGAGACTTGTAATGCTTTCACTCTCGGAAACTGAGGTAGGCTCTTTTGCTGGGTTGAGAAAGTTTGGCTTCATATGCTCATAAGGTAGAGGGTTTGACGTGTTATACCAGTGGATTTGGACAGGAGAAATGTTGCTGTAGTGTTTTAGAATCAATGGTTCTAATCTGTAGGCCTAGATTTTTAAAAATGCAAAGAAATACAACATTAATATATAATATCTCGATTTTAGAAAAATGTTTATTTTTAAAGCTCTGTTGAATAAGTAAATCTCAGAGCAAGAATTTAAAAAATGGCTATTTGAAAAAAACACTACATTTTTCACTGTTAATATATATAGTTGTCTAATTACATGTCCCTAATAGTGAGATCATTAAAACAACAACAAAACTGTAGGTAGTTCTGACCAACAGTGTCTGTGAATTCATTTTCAGAGAATATTACTTTTATTGCATTCTGATATATCTAGTGAGATTTTTGTTGCAAATCTGAAGTCAACGATAGCCCAAATGTAGTAAAGGTCAGTCTTTAATATGTAGATCTTTTACTATACTTAATTTCAAATACATGACTCCAATAAGAGCCTAACTTGAAAGTCAAAAAACAAAACAACAACAACAAAACCAAACCAAGGCTGCTGTCTGTAGCAAGAGTCAGTTGTAGGTGTCAGATTCTTGCCTCTGTCACCAGTTAACTGCTATTTGTTAGGTCACACAATCTCAGAACTGTCTTATAGGAGAAGAGAATGTCTGTGAAGCCTGCCTAGCAAAGGTCCACACTAGACATTAAAGAAAGCATTAGGAAAAAGCCATGCAGCAAGATGCATGCTTAGGATGTGTGAAGCTCTAGGTTTGAATCCCAGCACCAAACACATAAAAGCTGTGTTTGAGATGCACAAAGATGACAGAATTCACGCATGAAGAAAACCACCCAGACACACTAGCCTCGGAAGTGGTGGTCATGACTATGTGCTGAGTCCCTAACAGACCTGGGCTGTCATCCTGGCAGACTCGAACTTTCAGTTTCAGTTGGAGCTGTCTCTTCTACACGGCAGGTGTAAGGGACTTTCTAAAATTCAGACAGTCTGTCAGTCAATGTTTATTCAGTTCTAGCTAAAGATCTTTAGAAGGACTTCACACAATATAATAAAAGCTAACTTCAGATATTTAAAATAGTTTTGCTATGTGTGTGCTGGGCTGACCACTATCCCTAACAAGATGTAAGGACACTTCTTCATGTGTGTGGTGGGGAATCGAACCGGGCTTCTCCTGTAAGCTAAGCGAGTACTCTACCACTGAGCTGCATTCCAGCCTGAAAGCACGAGTCTTGTCTAAAAACCCCTCTTGGCTCTTACTATTTACACCTGGATATAAGATCTTGGTGTGTTTACATTTAAAAACATTTTAAAAAACAAAGTAGAAAATTGAAAAAAAAATTGAGTATTTTAACCTTTCACTTTCCCTCAACTAAACACATGGTTTTACCTCCTTCCATGCTTTCATTTTAAGAGGGTCTGTCAGACTCATCTTTATAGCATATGCTAGAAAAAACAGTACTTAAGCCGATTTTTTAATATTTATTTTCGTGTTTGTATACTATGACGTGTAGAGGACATCAGGGAGTAGTCTCAGGCTGCCACGCGTGGTGCCAAGCACCTTCACCTGAGTTCCTGCGGCGGCCTTTAAAGCCAGATTTAAGACTTACTGCCCCTAGGCCATCAGAACTACAACCGGCTAAGGTTTTAAAGTCCAGCACACACTTGTCTCCTACACAGGTGACCAGGGAAATTACTTTTCTACTTTTTTTTTTTT